TGAGCATGAGTCCCCTGATCACTTTGCTGCTCTCTGATGTGGAGTGAGGATCGCTGCTGCGAAACAGTTTTAAGGCAGTAAGATCCATGCTTCAGTGATCAGAGGTCGCATGTTTTGTTTGTTGTTGTTTTGGGGGCAAACTGTGGCGTGCGAAAACGCAAAACTCCGGTTTTCTCTGTCTACACGCAAATGCATAAATGGATAATTTTTTTAATGTAATACGATCTACCAAAACTACCTTTGCGATCGACTGGTAGATTGCGATCGACTGGTAGATTGCGATCGACTGGTAGATTGCGATCGACTGGTAGATTGCGATCGACTGGTAGATTGCGATCGACGTATTGAGCACGCCTGTTTCAGGCGCAAAGTGTTTCAAAAAAAGAATGTGGCACTGACTACTGACCTGATGGAAGCTGTTGCTGATTATCCAAACCCAATGCTGGACAGTGATGGAGAAGCCGGGTGTGGCTTATTCCACTGCCTCCTTCTCGGGGTTGAGGTGCTGGGACCATAATAACTAAATAGAGAAGCGTTTTGTAAACAACACATCTATAACTGGGACAGCATTGGTCCGCAAATCGCAACAAATGGCCATCATATGGTTAGTGTCAGTACTATCTGATAACTAGAGTACAACGCTAGCAATGGTTATACAGGTGAATACGCTCAGAACTAAAAACTAAACATTTTATCTAAGTATGCCTATAGACTACTGTTTCAGATTGCCTTATACTGTAACTTGGTACACGGAGTCCACAATATGCAAGCACGAATGAGGATTTATTGTATCGAGTTATTTGACTGTCTCTATTCACCTTGCCATAATAGCAATAAACACTTCCAGTGTATTTTGTGAGTATCTATGGATTATGTAATATTGTAATAGAGTCACAGAAATAGGAGTTAGGCGAAATAAGTTTATACTTCAGCCTAAATCCCTTCAGTCATTCATGTTTTTGTATCTTTCTGTATTCCAGTATGTAATATTTAAGATAAGATAAGAGTTCCTTTATTCGTCCCACAGTGGGGAAATTTCAAAAAGGAGCGGAAAGAGAGGGGAGCGCGATGCATCAGGCTGCGGGCAGCTTGCCTGCACCTCTCAAAACATTTAGAATGTAGTGACCGAAGAATAAACTGAACTGAACTAGCCGATGTTAGAACTTCAGTGTATCAGCAAATTGTGAATGAAAGAGGCACTGGCACAACCCAATATGTTACCCTTTCAGTTTGATTACACATGAATATAAAATGGCTAAAAGGCACATATTTCCCATTTTATCCTGTTTGTTGAGGCAAATGGAAATGGGCTATCTCTAGTATGCTAGCATGCGCACGTTGCTAAGCGCAAACATACATACGGTGTTCGACAAGACTGTATTGGACAATACATTATTTATACAAAATATTAATCTTAATGTATTAAATGTAATAAGAAGCCGTCAATGCCTTACTTGTCAATGAGGAATGTAAGCAAGTTTATCGTCTGACGAAGAGTTTTTCTCCTCCTTCAATTGTCTCCATCTACCTGTGAGATTAGCTCGACGCAGTGAGTTCTGGCAACCCAAATCACGTACTCTAGAACTGGTGAAACGGTGGGGGGCGGAACATCAAAATGAAAACAATAAAAATTAAAGCCGCAAGTAGCGTCAAACGGCCCTCGCCGAGCAGCCCCGCGCAGCGCCACACCGCCCTACACCACGCCGCCCTACACCACGCTGTTCTACACCACGCCGTTCTGCACCACGCCGCGCAATGATTTGTTCCCGTAGCCATAGAAGAAAGTTTGTGAAATTATAATTGTGACGGCCCCCTCTGCTGGTCCTGTGGTGGCGGTGTTTGAACTCATTCTGCTGAGATGATGGAAAGCAGCTGGGAGATCACGTGTCCTCCCGGATACTTTTAAAAGCGGCTTCCTCTCAGTCTCTTTCCCTCTCTCACCTGGCTTCTGGGCACCTGCCGGCGTGCCCGGACTGCCGCCAGCATTCTGGGTCCGGTCAGACCAGCCACCACGCCACGCCAGTTTGTTTTGTTCACGTACACGCACTACAACACGACATTTGCACCACACAAGGTTGTCCTACTGATTTTCATATACAACACCCTGCACCCCCACAGCATACAACCCACTTACACAGATTTCAGATTACTTTATTATTGTTTAAATAAATGCCCCACAGAGGGTTTAAATCTCTCTGGTTGTTGTGTCCTCCCTCTCTTGTTATGGTCTCACGAGCCGGGCCGTAACAATAATGAATATGATCATCTAAGTTGGTTTAGCTTCCCATGTTAAACTTTGCCTCAGTCTGTAGGAGGCGCTAATGGGCCAATATCAAATATTTCACCATGACCTAGACCCTGGAGTTGAACAATGGATTCAAGTTTTGTCCAAGTCAGACTTTTTTTGTGCAAACAGGATCAAATTTTCTATTGTCAAAAATGGCAATTAAAAATGCCACTTTTTGTCGCTCTGCTGCTCAAACAACGTTTCACTAATCAAAATTCGCTAAAGTTACTTTGAATATACGGGTTGTAAAACTGATTTCTATATTCAAATATCTCGGCTGAACAACAGTTATCAGTTAACAATGTATTCACAAAGAGCATGATTTAATCATTCCATTCCATTCCATCTTCTTCCGCTTCATCCGTTGCCGGGTCGCGGGGGCAGCAGTCTAAGCAGAGACGCCCAGACTTCCCTATCCACACACACTTCCTCCAGCTCGTCTGGGGGGACCCCAAGAAGCTCCCAGGCCAGTTGAGCGACATAGTCCCTCCAGCGTGTCCTGGGTCTTCCCCGGGGCCTCCTCCCGGTGGGACGTGCCCGGAACACCTCCCCAGGGAGGCGTCCATGAGGAATCCGGAACAGATGCCCGAGCCACCTCAACTGGTTCCTCTCGACGTGAAGAAGCAGCGGCTCTACTCCGAGCTCCTCCCGTGCGACCGAGCTCCTCACCCTATCTCTAAGGGAGCGCCCAGCCACTCTGCGGAGGAAGCTCATTTTGACCGCTTGTATCCGCGATCTCGTTCTTTCGGTCATTACCCAAAGCTCATGACCATAGGTGAGGGAGGGAACAAAGATTGACCGGTAAATCAAGAGCTTTGCCTTTCAGCTCAACTCCCTCTTTACCACAACGGTCCAATACAGCGACCGCATCACTGCGCACGCTGCACCGATTCGCCTGTCAATCTCACGCTCCATCCTTCCCTCACTCGTGAACAAGACCCCGAGACACTTGAACTCCTCCACTTGAGGAAGAACCTCCCCACCCACCTGAAGAGGGCAAGGCACCTTTTCCGGTCGAGCACCATGGCCTCAGATTTGGAGGTGCTGATTCTCATCCCAGCCGCTTCACCCTCGGCTGCAAACCGCTCCAGTGCATGTTGCAGGTCCTGGTTCGTTGGAGCCAACAGGACAACATCATCCGCAAACAGCAGAGATGAAATCCCCTCCGACCCCTGGCTGCGCCTAGAAATTCTGTCCATGAACAGAGTGAACAGAACCGGTGAAAAAGGGCAGCCCTGGCGGAGGCCAACATGCACCGGGAACAGGTCTGACTTACTGCCGGCAATGCGAACACTGCTCTGGCTCCGGTCATACAGGGCCCGGACGGCCCTCAGCAGAGGATCCCGGACCCCATACTCCTGGAGAACCCCCCAAAGTACACCACGGGGAACACAGTCGAACGCCTTCTCCAAATCCACAAAGCACATGTGGACAGGTTGAGCGAACTCCCATGAACCCTCGAGTATCCGATGGAGAGTATAGAGTTGGTCCAGTGTTCCGCGACCGGGACGAAAACCACACTGCTCCTCCTGAATCCGAGATTCGACCATCGGCCGTAGCCTCCTCTCCAGTACCTTGGAGTAAACCTTACCAGGGAGGCTGAGGAGTGTGATCCCACAATAATTGGAACACAGCCTCCGGTCCCCCTTCTTGTAGAGAGGGACCACCACCCCGGTCTGCCACTCCATTGGCACCGCCCCCGATCGCCACGCGATGTTGCTGAGACGTGTCAGCCAAGACAGTCCTACAACATCCAGAGACTTTAGATAGTCAGGATGGATCTCATCCACTCCCGGCGCATTGCCACCATGGAGGCTGCCAACCACCTTGGTGACCTCTGCCAGGGAGATGGAAGTATCCGCCCTAACATCCTCAGCCTCTGCCTCCAGGGCGGAGGACGTGACGGGGGGATTGAAGAGACCCTCGAAGTATTCCTTCCACCGCCCGACACAGCCCTCCACCCGCACCGTACACAGTGTTGGCAAAGAACTGCTTCCCTCTCCTGAGGCGCCGGACGGTTTGCCAGAATCTCTTCCGAGGCCGACCGACTTGTTATCCCCACAAACAATGCAAGAAGTCTGCTCATTACTGGACTTTGTCATCTTAGTTCTAGCTTGTTTTACTTGGAACTTTGTTTTATCTCTGCTGGAGTCTTCTTCTCGTAGTTGCTCCAACTGCTCATATATTGACTCCTGATTTTTGAGGTACATGTGAAGTTTATCAAAGCGATTCTGAGGAGTTACTGAATTTTTCCTTTCTGCAGCATATGTGAGCCATTCCTTTTTCATAGATTCAGGGAGTTTGCTTTCGATGGATCTTGTGACTAGTGGGTTTTTCATGGCATCTACGTTGTCAAGCTCTGCCAAATCGTATAAAGCTTTTTCTACTGCCTGGATAAGTTCCACGATCCTTCTCGGCTGGTGGCCTCTGACTGGGGGTATGGACTGAAGTTCATCAACAATTTCCAGTGTTATAGCGGCCTGATTTCCATACCGATTCTCTAACACTGTGAAGATTTCATCAGCATCTGCATAGGTGGAAAGCCGCAAATCTCTAATGACTTTATCCTCCAAGCTGTCCAACAGCTGGAACTTCCGCACTTCCTTTGATCCAGAGGGTTCTCCTTGAGTCTGAAGAGCGTCCCATTCCTTCCTCCATCGATAAAAGTCTCGTTTGATTCCGAAGGACTTTGGGAGGGGAGTGGCTTTTAGTTTTATTGTGGCAGCTGGGACAGTGTTATTGGACGACTGTGGTCTGTATTCTCCACTCGCTCTATGGCCGGCTGCGTCGATAAACAGAACTTTCTTTGAGATCAGCCGTGGCAGAGTCAATTCAAGTTCTCTCAGTCTGTTTCTGAAGTTGACTTGCTCGGTTGCAGGGCCCCACCGAATCCACTGTAGGTGGGCGTCTTTGGCTGCCTTGATAAGAGCTTCTAGGTGCTTTAGTAAGTGTTCATATGAGTCTACACTCATGTCTTTTGGAGCAGATATAAGTTGCTCACATTCCTGTTCTGCTGATTGAAATGTGATTAACATTTCATGTTCTCCAAATTCTGTCCAGAGTCTACCTTTTATTAAGTTTCTAACCTCATTTGACTTCTGCTCATACTCCTGCTCCGTCTTTTCTATGTCAGCCTTTTCCTCTTCTGCAAGCTCTTGTGCGCCCTCTGCGTTATAAGCCGCTTGGAGTTCTTCATTGGCTTCCATGACCTTTGAGCCTTGTAGAGTGAGCTTTTTGAAGCTCTCCTTGAGTTCATCAGCGGACATGTCCACAAATTCACGTCTGACATGATTGACCATACGAGTAAAGAGTCTTTTGGCAGTTTTCCTGTCAGTCCTTAGCTCCTCTATTGGTCTGTGGTCCGCCATTTGTGTCCAGCTTGTGTCCAGCAACTTGGGACTGGTTTTCACTGTCAAGTGCACCCCGAACCATACAGCTTTCCCCACTTGACAAGGAAGGACTCTGACACCACCTTAGGCCGGTTTCACTCAGTTTATTGACAAACAGCAGGTGAAAACCTTTAAACAGAAAGTATTCATATGATTAGTAATAGAAAACATTTTAGGGATTTTTAAATATATTGTAACTCAATTTTAACATCACTATTTTAAGTGCTTTTTTTCTGTTAAAGGCTACTTGCTAATTTAAATGCACACTTATCTATATGGGTTTCGAAATCAATTGTTTTAAACTAAAGATCTCATTATAATGAATTGTACCAAATCATCATGAACTTTATTCACTGTATTTTGTAGCAAACAATATTTAGATATTTTTACATTCACATTTAACATTACAGAATATAGATTCTTTACAGGTATTTTAAACTTCAGTAATTTTTAAACAAGAATAATTGGTCTGTTTTAACCTTTTAAAATTTAACTTAAATCAACTTTTATGCTATAAACTATTTTAATATAATTTATTATTTTTAGATAATAACGATAGAAACTTAAATGTAACTGCTTCATAATGGTCCAATTAGTGCAGTCCAATATTTTAACATAGAACTAGACTACTACAAAATAAACATACAAGTCCATTGCTTATAGTCCGTGGTGAGTAGCGAAAGTTACGCACAGTCTTGAACGACTCTTGAAGCCTATTTAGAACACTCGCATATACGCACTATTTCGACCCCGCGCCACATATAAATCACATGAAAACAATCAGGGGCAGATTAATGCTCACCAGTGGTCTGTATGGGTCGAATCTTGTCCTATATGGCTGTTTTTACGGGCTTTGTTCTACACTTTCTTGGTGCGACGATGTGATAAGAGTTTCTCTGCGCGCACGCTCTAATTAGGTAAATAGAAGCACCTGAACCCATGCGCGCAGTGAGCTACAATGACGCGCACGCTCCCTCAATGCGCGCTCCCGACGGGTGCGCACTACACTGATCCCCGCAACAATAGTCATGCTCCATGGACTCTCCAAACTCCTCCCAGTCCCGGGTTTTTGCCTCTGCAACGGCCCGGGCCGCGGCGCACTTGGCCTGACGATACTGGACAGCTGCTTCAGGAGTCCCATGAACCATCATTGCTCGATAGGACTCCTTCTTCAGCCTGACGGCATCCCTTACTGCCGGTGTCCACCACCGGGTTCGGGGATTGCCGCCGGGACCAGCACCAGAGACCCTGCGACCACAGCTACGAGCCGCCGCATCGGCGATAGAGGAAGAGAACATGGTCCACTCGGACTCAATGTCCCCCTCCTCCGCCGGGACCTGGGAGAAGCTCTCCTGGAGGTGTGAGTTGAAAGTCCGTCTGACAGGGGGCTCAGCGAGACGTTCCCAGCAAACCCTCACTACACGCTTGGGCCTGCCAGGTCTGACCGGCTTCCTTCCCTGCCAGCGGATCCAACTCACGACCAGGTGATGATCGGTTGACAGCTCCGCCCCTCTCTTCACCCGAGTATCCGAGACACGCGGTCGAAGGTCAGATGATACGACAACAAAGTCAATCATCAACCTCCGGCCTAGGGTGTCCTGGTGCCACGTGCACTGGTGGACACCCTTGTGCTCGAACATGGTGTTTGTGATGGACAAACTGTGACTGGCACAGAAGTCCAACAACTGAACACCGCTCGGATTCAGACCGGGCGGGCCGTTCTTCCCAATCACCCCTCTCCAAGTGTCACTGGCATTTCCCACATGGACGTTGAAGTCCCCCAGGAGAATAACGGAGTCCCCGGTTGGTGCACCGTCCAGTACCCCTCCCAAGGACTCCAAGAAGGGTACTCTGCACTGCTGTTAGGCCCGTAGGCCGTCACAACAGTGAGAGACTTGTCCCCCACCCGAAGGCAGAGGGACGCGACCCTCTCATTCACCAGGAAGAACTCCAACACGTGGCGGCTGAGATAGGGGGCAGCTCGCCGCCTCTCCCCGCGAGAAACACCAGAAAAGTGGAGCGTCCAACCCCTCTCAAGGCAAGGCAAGGCAAGGCAAGGCAAGTTTATTTGTATAGCACAATTCATACACAAGGCAACTCAAGGTGCTGAACAAGATAGCATTAAAATCATAAATAATCACAGAACATTAAAACGAAAGATAAAAATATAAAATCCCTCAGTTGTATGCACAGCTAAACAGCACCGTTTTTAACTTGGTTTTAAACATTGTCAGAGAGAAGGCCTGTCTCACATCTTCACAAAGATTGTTCCAGATTTTAGCAGCATGAATCTGAAAAGCAGCCTCCCCATGTTTAGTTCTGACTCTGGGCACTAACAGGAGTCCAGTCCCTGTGCTCCTCAGAGTCCGGGCTGGTTCATATGGGACTAACATGTCACTAATATATTTTGGTGCGAGGCCATGGAGAGACTTGTACACAAGCAGAGCTGTTTTAAAGTCTATTCTCTGAGCCACAGGAAGCCAGTGCAGGGACTTGAGGACTGGACTAATGTGGTCGTACTTCCTGGTTCTAGTCAGGACTTGAGCTGCTACATTTTGAATGTACTGCAGCTGTTTTACAGCCTGTTTGGACAGACCTGTGAGCAGGCCATTGCAGTAGTCTAACCTACTGGAGACAAATGCATGGATAAGAATCTCCAAGTCTGCTTTAGACACTATGTTTTTGATCCTGGCAATGTTTTTTAGATGGTAAAAAGCTGCTGATGTTACTGATTTGATGTGGCTATTAAAATTTAAGTCTGAGTCCAGTATTACCCCTAGATTTTTGACCTTGTTTGAAGGTTTTAGGGAGAGAGACTGTAGATGACAGATGACGCTCTCTCTTTGTTTCTGGGGACCAAAGACAATCATTTCAGTTTTGTCTGCGTTTAGCTGAAGGAAGTTGTTTTGCATCCACTCACTGATCTGTTGGATACAGTGAAGGAGTGAGTCCACTGGTCCATGTTCTCCTGCAGTCAGTGAGACATAGATCTGAGTGTCGTCTGCATAGTTGTGATAGGACACTTTGTTTCTGCGTATTAACTGACCTAACGGCAGCATGTAGAGATTGAACAGAAGAGGTCCCAGGATCGACCCCTATGGGACTCCACAGGTTAGGGCCATATGATCTGAGACACAGTTTCCAATCTCCACAAAGTACTTCCTGTCTTCAAGGTAAGACCTAAACCAACTTAGGGCGGTGCCAGCGACGCCAACCCAGTCCTCTAGTCTCTGTAAGAGGATCTCATGGTCGACAGTGTCAAAGGCAGCACTCAGATCTAACAGGATTAGGATTGAGACTTTGCCTGCGTCAGTGTTCAGCCGGATATCATTTGTAACCTTGACGAGAGCAGTCTCAGTGCTGTGGTGGGGTCTAAAGCCGGACTGAAACATATCAAATGAGTTGTTGATTATAAGAAATCTAGTAAGCTGTAGGTAGACAACTTTTTCAAGGACTTTCCCCATAAATGGCAGATTTGAGATGGGACGATAGTTGTTAAGTACCGTAGCATCCAGACTGCTCTTTTTTAGCAGGGGCCTGATGACTGCAGTTTTCAGGGCCTTTGGGAATATTCCAGAATTAAGGGACATGTTTACTATCTGTGTGAGTGAAGGTAACAGACTGCTCAGAACAGACTTTAGAAATCTAGTGGGTAGTACATCCAGGCTGCATGTGGAGGAGCTCAAACTGGAGATTATCTCTTGGACAGTTTGATCATTTACAGGTGCAAAGTAAGTTAGCTCAAAGAGCCTTTCTGGCTGTTGGATTGTTATCTGTGGATTGGAGACAATGGCGTTTTTGATGCCTTGAACCTTGTCATTGAAAAAATGTGCAAACTCATTACATTTACGTTTGGAAGTTAGCTCTAATGGCATCTGAACAGGGGGGTTTGTTAATCTATTAACTGTTGAAAACAGAACACGCAGATTGTTGCTGCAGCCTTCAATCATTTCAGAAAAATACCTTTCTCTCGTACTACGTAGCACCTGGTTAAACTCGCACAACTTATCTTTGAAGATCTTGTAATCAACCTGGAGGTTGGACTTGCGCCACTTCCGCTCGGCCCTCCGGCACTCTCTCTTTTGTGCCCTGACCGAGTCTGCTTTAGCCCACGGCGCCTTCTGCTTTATTTTTCACTATTTTAACCTTCACAGGAGCGATGGTGTCCAGAACTTTCAAAACACTAGAGGTGACAGAGTTAAACAGTTCATCTACAGTAGAATACGATGCATTCTCAAAGTTTATCATTCCCATAAATAGTTCACCCGTATTTTCATTTATGTGTCTTCTTCGTACAGTTGCAGAGTCCACTGGTGGTTTGTTAGTGAAACACATGTCAAAAAATATACAAAAATGAACCGAAAGCGCAACATCGACCACGTTTACATTAGAAATGTTCACCCCCTTTGTAACTAACAGGTCTAGAGTGTGCCCTCTGCTGTGGGTGGGACCACTCACATGCTGAGTGAGACCAAAAGATTCAAGAACAGAACTCAGCTCTTTTGCATTTCTGTCATCAACATTATCCACATGAATATTAAAATCACCTGTAATAACTAAACTATCAAAATCTGTGCATACAACTGAAAGCAACTCTGTAAAATTATCAATAAAACTGTGACATGACTGCGGTGGCTTGTATAGGACAACGAAAAGTATTGGAGGAGATTGTTTTTGTTGTATTTTAAAAGACACATATTCAAAAGACGGAAACATCCCAAGAGACATTCTATGGGAGACAAAGTGGTCTCTGAAAATGGCAGCTAAGCCTCCTCCTTTTTTGTTTTCCCGTATTTCAGATTCAAATTTGAAATTTGGTGGTGATGCTTCTATTAAAACTGCATTTTCTGTATTTTGGTCAAGCCATGTTTCAGCCA